AGACTTTGAAAAACTCTATAGATTTTGAAGTTGTTCCTCTTCTTAGAAGTAGAAACATTTTGAAGAATTTGTTTTCCCTAATCCTTAAAAAGTATCCCCCAAAACATCTCTGCCAAATTAAGATTTCTTTTTTGTCTATTTTATATTTGAGTGTTCTTTTCTAGTTGAATGAGTGATACCCTCGAAGTGTTAAGATTAGGCGTAAAACATTGGTCAAATAATTTCCAGAAATGTTATGGACTGAGACTTGTAGAAACTGCCTCGAAACGAAGCTTTCTCCTAAATACATCTTCACCTGTCCGGCAATACTTGCAGCTCTGTAAAGCTTCGTCAAATTTCCTTTTCCAGAGACAGCTGTATAGCGAAAAGATAGTGGAACTGGCAAAAGTAATGATTTACACGAATGGATCCATTTGACTTCTCAAAGGACACGTCGCCAACAAACTACCGGATGTTATGGACAGTTCATAAATGAAGTATTGCGTTAAAAATATTACGAAGATTTCCGAAAATTGTTTTGCATTTCTATAGTTAAAATTCTGGGGAAGTACTTATATACATATTTTTACTTGTATTTATGTTGAATTAATTAAATTTCATTCCTATTTTCAAGATTATTTTTTCTCATCTTTTAATATAATCTTTCGTTTAATGTTATCTAGAAAGATGTGGATAAACACGATTTCATTAAGTGTCGTCTACTGTAAAATTAAACCCTGAATGAATTAATCGTAATTCTAATGTGGAAATGCTATAACATTTACTTTATAAATGTGTGTAAATATTTCTTGAATGATAATTTTGTAAGTTATTTACAGTAAAATAGTTAATTTATATCATAATTATAAAAAAAAGCTTTTGATGATGAAAGTGAGGTTTCTTTGAGAATGGGTGAAATCATTTCTTCTTGCGCGATTATTCGAAGTACGTAACCAAATAAATAATGATTTGCGTTAAAACAACATATTTATAAAACGCTTACTTTTGTTTCGTAATTGGCTCTGAAATTAATTTATAAATAAGATTATTAAAGATGTGACTGTTTCTGATATAAGCGATCAAATGCAGAAAGCGAAGGAAGTTCGTCTAAATTTTTATTAGTGTATTAACACCGTTAATTTGAATATTACGATAATTTAAAAATAATGTAAGAAAGATTCGGTCTTTGGCTGTCAACAGAAACTTTGTCATCATCTAAAGTGTAAGATCTGTCTCTTCTTTTCCACATAAACTAAGCTAGATCCTATAAAATGAACCTGGTGAATTCCCGCACAGGCGTGAAGTAACTACAACCAGGGAAGAAGGGTGAAGAGCAGAACGGCACGTACTTCGTGCTTTACAATAACATCGACTACTTCCGGCGGAAATTAAACGTTATAACATAAATCAGTTCAAGTATAAATAAGAATAGTGCTGGATTAGCACTTAGTTACGGCTAACTTAGGTTGACTCAACAAAACCTAACAGGCGTGACAATTATCCGAAATGGCCAAGGGACGTACCAGTGTAAAGCGAGATAAGCAAGAAAACGTGCGCTAGCTAGCGAAAACACGCTATGACTAAACTCAGAGATTAACTCATTTAAATACTCACTTCACTTAACTTTAAATTTACATCCTAGCGAGGAAATGCAAGGGGAAGTTGAGGAGTTCAGGAACAGTAAAAAAATTTGAATAAAATATTAGTCAACTAAAGGATACCCTACAAAAGCATGATTTTTTTCCTCTGCTTCATTTCTTATTAAGGAATTAGAAGAAAAGAAATAACTACACTATTGGTATAGATAAATAATAATGAAACAGCTGTTCAACAGACAGACATTTTGCTATTGTCGTTTTTAATATTGACAGACTAATTAAAATATTTGTATCATAAGAAACATATTACTTCAGGCTTACGTTTACAAACAGTATAAGCTATTATACTTTGAAATAGATTGTATATTAAACAAGTCCCATGGTTGTGATTGTTTCATCTATTATTGGTGGAAACATATTTTTCTTATGACGATTTTATGCCTTTTATTTTACAAAGCGGATGTATTAATTTGTCGTTAAAATAATTATTCAAAAGCCTCCAGCATTACTACAGCACACATTTAGCAAATGCTTTAACCTGAAATGTCTACACATAATGTACTACGGAATTAGTAAATGGATAAATATTTTGACATACAAATTCTATTGGTGATAGAAAAATTTAATTTTTTAAAAAATTTTTATTTTATTGCTGTTGTGACTAATTTCATTTGTCTGACATCAGAGCAAGTCCACAAAATTCAACGTGGCAAGGAAGCGTGGTTACGCCTTAAGAGCCTATACAGATGACAAAAATTGCACTTTAATATGCGTGAGTTATGTCAGCTTGGCTGTCGGAGATCTTAATGCAACACAGTTACTTTTTTTGTGAATTAATGCGTCCTTAGGCAGCAACATGAATTTGATGGTGAAACCGAGCGGGCATGTAGAATTAGTCAGACTGGATAATCAATCAATATCCTTTTATGCCGGGCTGCCGCTGTTGCCTGCTCAATGACGATGTTGCTGGCTCATTGACGAGCATGCCACATGGGCGCTTGACATGGAGAAATCTGGACTGGGTAACAGGAGGTCGGAAATGGGAAGAAGGGGAGTGACCAACGTCACAAGGCAAAAGCCATGGACCTTATAAGAGATAGACTAACCCAGTAGACAGAGCGCGTGTCACCGACATGTCGGCAAGAAAGAGTAGGGACGATCTTTTTACTTTAACACTGAAACCTATGGCATTTGCATCACATAACTCTTTTTAATTATTAAATGTGATACGTTGTATAGTGAGGAGATTATGAAAGTCACAGTTTTTCCCAAATAGGATTTAATATATCTCATTAAAGCACTTTTTACTGCATTTCACGCAATTTTTCATGCGTAATTCTTGTACGAGTAATTCTCGTATTACACCGAAAAGGAACTTTTTTTAAAGTTCTGTGTGTTACCTATATTTATTGAATATCATGTTCTTCGCCCGTAAACCACATACATTTGAACATATCTTTAGATGTTCAAATGTATGTGGATGTTTAGATGTTCAAATGATGTTCTTGCCGACATATCTTTAGAATTTCCGCACTGGAGATGAAACTGTTATTTTCCATACAGTGGTCGCTTTGAACTCGTTGAGTTTGTTGATCAAAAATAGTTTGTTATCAAGTTTCACAAAATATGAAATAGATTAAAACAAATTCGAAATTCGGCCGTCCAGATGCCCATGTTCGGGTGGAGGATTACATTATTCAAAATTTGATGGTTCTGGATACTGTTGTTTTTGTCACAGTGATAGAAACATACATGTATTCATGCAGATTCTTCATTATTTAATTTCTTTATATATAATACAGGGCGATAATATTTTGTAGCAACAATTTGCAAGGAGACACGGACATTTATAGTAAAACAGCGCAAAATGCCATTTCGAAACTAACAGCCTTTCTAGGCTACCGCCCTTCGCGCGAATAAATTAAATTAACAGTAAATAAATAAAAAAAATCATATGCAGAACTAAAAATAAATTAAAAAAATAATCACTATAAAATACAAGCAAAATTAATTATTACGGTTAAATGCAATTTTAATCTTAGAATTGTATAAAAATTTTTAAGGAGTCAAAAATGTTGTTAATCTCTATGATGTATTATGAAATATAATTGAATTTATAGAAATTTATATACCTTTATAGAAATTGTGCTATAATACTCATCTATAATTTTTAAAAAGCAGCATAATTTAGAATTTTAACCAAAACTTTCAAAAATTCGTTTTTAAGTATTTTAGTTTTTTTTTTTTTTACTTATTTACACCAATAAAAAGCAGAAAAATTGCAAGAGAAAATTGCTTGTTTCAAATTTTCTATTACTTCAGATTTAAAATATTATTTTCTAAAAGAAGTAGTTACATATTTCCTTACAGCATAGGAAAGCGAAAAACATATCCAGCCCTGAAAGCATGCAATAGCTCTATAATTATTTGGAACGCTAATTATGCTTGATACATATCCTAAATTTTTAAAAATCAATCTTCAGTTTCAAAAATAAAAATATGTAGAACTTCTAATTTGTGAAATGAGGCGTTACAACACGCTTTTTCTTGACAATTATACATGCTGCAATAAACAACCACTGTTAAATTTCTGCAAGTCGTCCCTACTCCTCCGGATGTGATCAAGGTGACAGCCGGGAACGCATCAGACCAGGGGAAAACCCACTTGGGTTGGTCTATTTTTTATAAGGTCGATGGCAAAAGCCAGAAGATGGAAAAGCCCAGGAGAGGTAGAAACTCTATCAAGCAATTTATATCTTCTGCCAGATAAGTTGGTGGAAATTTTTGACATACGCCATAGAATAATGTCATCGACTATGTTTATCTATATTTACTCGAGATGAATTTATGCGAATAGAAGTAATAAATTCACTATTTAAATGTCCGACCTCGATAACGTAAAATATATTTTAATAGACGTGTATTTTGTTATTTTCTAAATACAAATACATAAGAAAGTTTCAAATTCTTATTTCGTATAAAGCATTAATGTGTTTGAATTACGAATCTAAATCATATTTAGACTTACATACTTAGATCTAGTAATAGTAAAATAGTTATTTAAATGATCTGGGCTAATTTACTTGCGGTTAACAATGACTGACTAACAAAGAAATGGCATTATTTACCTTCTGTAACTTATGGTACTTATGGTGGTAAGTGTAAAACCATCTAACAACTCTAATTAGTAATCGTAGTTTTAAAGTATCATAATCAAGTTCTAAGAAATTGAAAAAAATCATAAAAAAATCATTAATCCTTTTTCGATGTTGTAATAAAATTTTTTTCAATAATTCATTTAAGTAGCTTTCACTTAGCAGACATGATTTACATTTCAATCCTCATACATTCTTTGGTTTATAGATAGTTGGTATTTTATATTGTATTTCACACTACGCTGTTTTTGGAAAAGATCATACAGTATAAACGAAAAAAAAATTTTTATTGAAAAAAACATAAGATTTCAAAGTAGTAGTGACAGAAATATTGCGGTAAATATTCGAAAGTAAAACTGAAACTTCTGCATAATACAAATGCTTGTATCCTGAAATAGAGTGCTCATCGACTTGTGTATTTATGCTTTTGCTCCTCATTCTGCAAAGGAGAAACCTAAAAGAAGTAAAGATGTAAGAATTATCAAAGCGTTTATTACAAAATATATTTTTTATGATATACTTCCTGATAACCCCCGGTGACTGATACCGAATTCAGAAAGAAATAATTAAACAATTACCCCCAAAAAATTCTTTGGACATTTAATGCAGAATAATTTACAGACATATTTATACATTCTTCTGAAATTCGTTAATATCTTTAAAAAATTAAAAAAACAAATAACAAAGAAATACAAGGACAAAATAAAGACATAAGCGTTTCCCCTGGATCAAGAAAATATCTGTGTAAAAGGTTTAGGAAACTGATTAACATCCACAATTACAATCTGCGTTCTGTTAGTAATTAGGACTGCTTGAAGTTTTTTAGGTATAAGCTACGACCACCCGACACACGCAAAAAGTGATTTTGTCTTAAACCGTACATGAAAACGCTAAATCGATATAGTAAATAAATAAAACAATTATTATAAATAATTAAGTACTAAATATTATAACGAATAAACAAATGTATAAATAAACTAAAACAAAAAAATTCAATAGATAAAAATGTCTCAGAAAAAGTTCACATTTGTTATGTACCTTACCTCACGGTACCAGTGTTAAATAGCTTACTCACGCACCATTTGTTAAATAAGAAACTACTTGCCGTGAGAGGTTTCTACTTCCTCTTAGGGAGGGAAACTAAACTCTTAAGAATTTGCTAATTACCAAACTTTTTAGTGATCGTATAGTTAAAACGGTAAAGCATTTGCGTTGTGAAAAATGCATCCCGGGACCGCGCGTGCCGTGAGAGGATCGTAACATAAGAAAAACATATACAAGATATATAGGAAAACATATTAAATATATAAAGAAAACATACTGTAATAGGTTTCCAGATTAAATATCAGTTTATTCAATTTCATCACAAAAAAGAAAATCTTATCCTCATCCTCATCAGAGAGTAAGGGGAATTCTTCAATTTGTCATTTACTTTTTTTTTACATTTAAATTCATATAACAACCTTAAGGGTTTGTCTTGGTAATTTAGAAGGGGAAGGGAAACAACTGAAAACCTGTGAATTAAATTAAGATTCAACGTTGTTATTTACATTCCAAGGAAAATCGTTGGAACCTTACTTGAAGTTCAAACACAAAAAAAAAATTACTTATCTGGTCTTGAAGTGGAGGACTCGTATCCTAATAAGCGTTGACGTCGGCGGGGCTCATTTTTACGGTCACAAATGGAAGTTTCAGAAGACATCGTCCTGTCCTGGCACTATTGGCGAAACACACACGCAGGTAACTGGTTTCCATAACGACGAAGCTACTTTAATTCTGGAAAACAGAAAACAGGTGCACTGCTGCCCAGCACGGCTATCCGCTTGGTCTTGAAAGTCTTAAGTCAACACGCAGGTAACTGGTTTTCATAATGACGAAGTTATTTTACCTCTGTAAAACAGAAAACAGGTGCACTGCTGCCCCGCACGGCTATCCGCCTGGTCTTGAAAGTCTTAAGACACTCGCCCGGTTCAATTTCGCCTTTTAACCAGAACGCGGCAGGGAAGCATCTCTCTTCGTAAATTACATTTTTTTCAAGCAAGTTTCAAGAGTAACCTCCAAAAGTAAGTTCAGCAAGCCAGTCAGAAAGACTCTCCAAGTCTCGCACGAAAAAAAAAAAGACACCAAAAAGTCTTTCCAAGAGTAAGTGAGTAAAGTCTTAAATCTTTCAGCCAATATTCATACCTCTTCAACCTCGCCTCTTAACCAAAACGAGGCCGGGGAGCATATTTGCCGCTCCCCGCCGGGAAAAACGAACATCTCTCTTCGTAAATTACATCTTGTTCTCTATCGCTTTCAACCCCAAGAGCAAGTTTCAAGAGTAACGTCCTAAAAGTAAGTTCCAGCCCGCAGTCTCGCAGTAAGTGATTCCAACTCGAATTTCCTTCGTCTCCTTCACAAACGCGGGCTCCCAACTATGGCTTCAACTTATCGCCCCCTTAATTTTAGACAAAATTTGCGTTTTCAACCCCTGAATGCGGAAATAAGGGTGATTGCGCATGCGCGCCCCTTCCTTCACCTTAGCCAACAACCGGACCCTCAATCGCCAAAACCTGAATGACTTACATCGAAAGTCAAGTAGCAACCTTTGACCTTTCTGTCACGTACTTCCTCTCTTAAGGTCAACTACACAATGAAAATTCCTTCTAGAACATTCTAAAGGACAAAGCGCGCGAAATCATGACTTAGCAAAAAATTGCCTCCCTTTCCCTGCTTCTTTTCACAATGAATCAAAGCTTGTACAAAATTTGCAAATAAAGGAAAATAAATAATATTCTTTTAAACTAAATAATATTCCCAGAAGCATCTGTTTTTTCCCCAAAATTAAAGCCTTAAAATAAATAATTCAGAATCAAATAAAATTAAGATTTCCATAAATCAGAAAATCATTCACCTAGTTTTTATAACGCTATCAGACAAATTCTCTACACAACACATTGAAGCTTTTTTTTAAATATATTTTCACTTTGCATTTAGATGGTTTATTTGATTACGGTAAAGCTTTCAAGGACTACCATTCTAGGATGCCTTCATGGGGGACGTTCTAAGGGAAACTGATTCGTATACGCGTTACACATGGGGAAAAACACGGAAACATTCATGCAGGTATCCCGTTCGCTGGGATTCGAGCCTGGGATCGCACTACTAAGCGTTCAGCGACTACACCACTTGGCCGCTGGTTGGATCTCCGTATTCAGAAATAACCAGAAATATTCATCTCGATGGCAAATAACTTTTCGTTGACCAAAATATTTATACAGTTTTTGACACCAATTCGTAAAACTCAAACTAAATAAAGCTCTATCAAATTACTCAAAGCTTAATCATGAGTTTATTAACCGAAAGCAGAGAATTCCAGAATGGTACTTGTTTCTACTTTTCAGCAAAAATTTGGAGCATGCTTAAAATCGACCACTATCCAAACGAACGTGAAAAAATATGGTACTCAATGCAATGACATAAAACTGGAATTCCTATAACTGTGTAACAGATAAAAGCAGTCGAATAATTAATATAGCAACATGTTTTATGTTCAATAAAGTTTGAATAAAATTTTTAAGTATTAAAAATACTTTTCATTAGAATCGATAAAAGCAATTTTTGAAGTAAAAAATTTCCTTTCTCATATTTTTTCTCAAGCCAATCATAGACCTGGAATAAGCGAATATTATAAACAGCACATATAGCACATAACATATCTGTTCGATGAAACAAAGTAATTTAAACAAACATGCTGAAGTCGAAATGATGATAATTTACTGCGTGGTTAGTATTATCTGTTATTTATTTGTTTGAGTAAGTCGATTTTTGTTCAAATTTAAAAGAAAAGAGAAAAAGAAAAGAAACGAAAGCATGAAAAAGGAGTTTTTGGGATCTCTTAACAAATAATACATATAAAACAATTTTTTTATCGAATTTTTCTTTTGTATCTGAGAAAGTGAAAATCATAAAATCGATAAATAATGCTTACTCTTTTTGAGAAAAAAAGTATAACAAATACTCATGCACTCTTCTTTGGTGCTAAAACTATTAGCATTTCCACCGCATCCGCTGTATGTGAATTTTAGGCATTTGAATATTTCTTGATTGAAGTAATATCTTGGAATTTGAGCCCGGCATTTGCCCTGCACTCGTGCAAGTAGACATGGATGTTCTGTAAAGTACAGTAAAAAATGAGAATCTGTGCGTTATAACATTTTTTAAAAAAATTTTATGCAGATATTTATTTTACTTTCCTAAAGCAAGTGCTGATCATTTCAATAATCAGAGTATATAGTTCGACCGTCCCTGCCGCGGCAATGAGCGCAAACACGCATTTGGACCGATTTATTCTCAAAACAGGGTGGATGGAATCAGAGTAGGATCATGACGTAGGGATATTTTCTGTCTTTTTTTCCCCCGTTTATTTCTAATGTGTTTAAATGGCATAAACATAGTATGTTGATATGCTGGAAACCTATTGACCGGTTTATGTTTTTTACTACAAAAAGAATAATTCTGCTTAAGAATATATTTCCATGAATTTTTAGTGACCTTTATCTTTGAAAATCAGCGATGAAGTACGGATTGTTCATACGAAATTCCTAAAGTATATAAAAAAAATCAACATTGTTGGTTTCCGGACTGCAAATCAATGCGAAGTTCAGTATTTATTTATGTAAAAAAAATAATAATAATTAAAAAAAAAAAAAAAAAAGGCTCGAAAGGCAATTGACGATAGCATCACCCGATAACATAGAGGCTTTTCCTCCTTCGGTCATATAAATTCTCTCTTTTCGAAGAAGAGAGAACGTTCACGTAACCTCTTACCTCGCGGCACAGCACATAACTAACGCTCGGCAAAGTGCCAGCCAAGATTGCGTTTAAGACTGCTTAACTATATCAGAAATAATTTAATTAGCCTGATTTGTTTGATTATTTTTTCTGTCAATGCATCAGCCTATCTGCGTACATTTCGAAATTGCTGTGAGTATGTGTTTTCGTCTTTCATGGACTTTAATCGAAGAAAGAATAAAATGTATTTTGAATATTCAAATTCATTTCTGCAATTGATGAAAGGTTCTTTTAAAAGTTAGTTTATTGATAGTAGTTAAACCATAAAATTTTAGTAGTAAAGTAGTTTAGTCAAGTAAAGTTCTTTATGAGGAAAATATGAAACGTATTTTACAGAGCTGCAGTGTTGGTCTCTTTCGTAATTTGTCATTAAACTTTAGATAAAGAGTGAAAATGTGTGATTGATTTGGAAACAATAACCATCATCTGTGCCCTGATTACACACAGAGATCAATCAAAAATACAGACTGCTCCCTTTTAAAGACAAATTATCGGTACTCGAAGTATAAAAATGTTAACAGAAATTATTTAATATAATAAACTGTGAACGCCAAAAAAGTCTTTCAAATGCACTATTTTCAAGATTACACTTTTCTAGTATAAAATTAGAAAAAAAGGGGGGGGATTAAATCTTCCCGCATTATGTACTTTTATATTTTATACTGTTAAGCAGAAAATTTTGATATTAAGAATTAAAACATGTTCAATACTTAAACCTGTTAGTGCCAGACAAAATTAAAAATCTCTCTAACTTTTGAATCTGATGATTGATATTAAAAAAAGTTAAAATAATTTTATCATGTAAACTAAGAATATAACATTTCTTTCTAGTGACTTGGTATTAAATAAAAAATATTGTTCAATAAAAATATTTTATTCCATGTATGTATAAAATGTAATAGAGCTATCTTTTTAAGTCTCTGAAAACACAAAATTCACAGAATATGCCAATACATAATACCTTCCAAGGTAGGTTACTCCTATATAACCTTTAAACCACAGTCATTGATACACAATAACACGAATACTCCGATACAACAGAGAAAAGAATCATTAACACTTAAAATAAATTACCCCCCCCCAAGTTCTATAAAAATATAAATGAAACTAATAAAGTAATCCTAACGGAAGATTGTATATCAGTTAAGATTAAAATATTAATACGTTTAACAAGCACCAGAGTGAAAATGTGAAAGCACAATAACGCATATTTAGTCTAATATGTTTTCATTACTAAAAACTATTACCATCCAGCATCTTATTTCACACATCTCACGGATTTCCGAACGAATTAACTATGGGGTGATTTGGCAGTCCACTAATTAAATCAAATACAAGGTTTAACATTTAAAAACACATTTATTAATTACCTACATTAAATATAACTGTTAAGATAACTGGCCAGTATATCCCTTGCTTGTTTTATCAATCGTTTTCACATCATTTCAAACTCCTGGCATTATTTACACAAAAAATGCATTTGAATCTTAAACATATATAAAAGATTAATATTTCCGATATTTAATTTTGTTTTTGTTTTTATATTTAAATTAATAATTACTTGATTTTAAATTAAATTTACTTGAAAAGGGCATTTAAATATATTAATGTACAGAAAAACACAATTTTAATAATTTGTCTAATTCATTGAAAGTAATTGAAGTTGCTTAAATAAATATTTAATTTCCAAAAATATTCCTTCTCTCTAAGCTACATATCTACTCACAATACTATAATAAGGCGACGTATCTGAGGTTCAACCTTTCATCCTTAAATCCAGTATTAGAATTGGCATATATGCACGAAGAAATTCATTGCTATTATATAAACGAGACAATGCATTCCTTACTAACTGTCAAGGAATGACAAAATAAAACTGTTGCCGTTCGCTACTTTTAGAAACGATGCAAACAGTATTGGAATACTAGATTATCCGTGGTCGTTCGTATCGAAAGTTCGAAGAGGCACTGTGAAAAAATATTGTTTATGAATTTAACTGTAGTTTTTTTTATGTGCCAGCTATTCTGTATCCCAATAACCGCAAAGCGCTGTCTCAAGAGGAAGTCCTTGGATGAAATATTTTTGCCTTTACCAATTCGGATTTTCACGTCTTTTAACGTCGTTTTTACAACGCAGAACAAGTGGCCAATAATATCTCGATGAAAATAACGTTTCAGCTAAATCTCTTAATGCAAAGATGTCCTAAAATACGGGGAAAAACCTCTTCACAGAAGCGATTTCAAGAATGGAGAACTAAGGCGCTGTCGGAATATAGCCGAACCTTCATGTAATGGTTAGTACCAAAAGCTCAAGATGGGCTATTTAGTCTCTCTTCTACCTACAACTTCAACGTTTTTTTCTCACACGTAAAATCTACTACCATTCTCATCTTCTTGGCCTTCTCAGAAGAAAATACAGTATTTCACCTGTCACCTCTCTGAATTTCATCACTGGTTCAGCTAGACATTAAACTTTGTCTTTAACCAAGTACTTAGTTTTAAGATCCTTTTAACGAATGATAACAGAGTAATAAGTTACCAGAAACTTTCGCTTACTCAAAATACAATTCCGTGGGAAAAATTCCAAAACTCCATAAAATTGTAAAAACTAACAATGTTTTCATCGGTGCTCAGGTTTGTACTAGTAAAAATTTAAAGCTTAACCCCCCCTTTTAGAAAAAAAAAGAAATGAACAGAACCCTTTAATTTCACTGGTCTACGATGCGAAAAAAACTTTTATAACGAAGTTGCAACTAAGATAGACTTTTGACAAAAAGAAATTAGCTTTTTCCAAGCTTTGATTTTTCCTGTTTTTTGACACGTCAACAAACTTTCTTATTTTTCTATCTAAAACGTCTGAGCTCTCAGATATTAGGATCCAGGTATATAAAATTAAGATTATAACAAGTCCGTGCATTTAATTTTCTAAATACATTAATTTATTACTAAATACATAAATTTTTTAAATACATTCTGTTCATATTAAACCTTATACATAATGATACAATGAATGCTCTTGCTTGTTTAATGATAAAAGCCAGCTCGTAATTAAACAAATTGGTGTTTCTAACTTAGCAACCTTAGCTTTTCATAACTAAATAGGGAACTGTTTTTTTAACAAGTTTTATTAGTGTTTTATGCCTTATGTACATCAGATAGGTTATTGTCTACATTTTATAATTATTCTTTTAATTCTTAATTAAACAAAACATTTTTATCTTTTTCACGTTATTTAATTAACCAGCACAGGTATTCATATTTAACAAAGCCCGAAGACATCTTATTAAGCACATCCAGTAAGACATCCAGTATTAAGCACATCTTATGTGAATATTGAAATCCTTTTGTCAGTAATGCAAAATCATATTGAAACGCATATGGAAAAGACGAAAAACAGTTTTTAGATCCCTAAAGTAATCCATATAGATGAAATTTTATTTTACATTTCTTCACTCTTAATTACAGAAAAAATCATGCAAGGAGTAAATTATGCATACTTTTGTTTTTAGGATCCAGAGGGCACAGTTTCATGCAATCTTCTTTTGTTTTAAAATTATTCGTATTTCCACCACATCCACCGTAAATGAACTTTTCGCACGATTTTCCATTGTAGTAATATCTTTCGACTTTTGATGGGCATGGACCCTTCTCTGGAAGAAGTTCGCATGGATCTTCAACTGTAATGTAGGATAAGAAGGGAAGATATAGAAGCAATTTTTATTTTTTAACGTTATTCTCTTCTAAATAATTTTCTTTAAACAGCAAATTAGCAGTTCATTTATGATACTGAAAACAATTATCAAGCCAAAAGTGATTTAGCACAGAGTGTTTTTTCAAGTAATATAAACTTATGTGATAAAAAAACTAGATAAAAATAGGAGAGAAATTTAAAACCTAGTAAATAATAACTACTGAACTTATTGCTCATGAAGATGTAGAAGAAATTAAATTTCTAATGACACAGGCTTCCAAAGAAATTGTAAATGAATAAACTCGAACAGTGGAATAGGTTAAAACTTTGAAACAATAGCTGGAAAATTATGAGTCATTATAATAGAAAGATTCGAGAGGAATAAACACAATTATTACTTCTCAAATTATGGTGCATCTAACCTTTAATAGAAAGCTAATAATCTTAAGAGAACATTTCAAAATTTATTTTGTAATTTCAAGGAAAATGAGAAAATTTCAACAATTTTTTACACATTGTTTCATTTTCGCAATTCTTTGTTTCATTTACTTGTACAATTTATATCACAGTCCATCAGAGATCTTCCCTCTAGGGGCAGTTTTGATGAGTACGTTTTGTTTCCTTTCGGAGAAAATGGGACAACATGTATTTGAAACTATTTCTATATTCGCTGGAGGAGGTGGCAGATTTCGTTCTTAATGCAAGCTGAAATCCCGGGGTTTTAGAACTTAAAATTTATTTTACGTAATGCGGAGATAATTTCAAGTATTGTATACGATACTGTTTTCTGATCATTTGCAGTTAGCTCAAATTTTCAGGACTTTATTTTAATTTTAAACATGCTATAATGTAACGTGCTAGAGTAGAATTTATAGCAACTGTAGTTCAAAGTAAAAGCATATGAGAACCTTTTTAGGGGAGCTTATAACCTAAATCCATGTAATTTAAGAAACGATTTAAAAATTTACTGCTATTTTTTAACTGCATTTTATAAAGTTTTACAAACATTTTCATATGCTTATTCAACTTATTACCAACTGCTAAATAGCGAAAAGCGTTCAGCGTATTCTAAACGTCAGTATGTAAAAGGAAAAAGGAAAGGCTAAACGTACTGTAAGGATTGATTTCTGAATTTGAAATTTCTAAAAGTCTATGGAAAGCCATCGGAAACGATTATTAAGCATAAATGAATAAAATACTAATAGGTAAAACAATAAACATTGAAAAATTAAAATAAAATGAAACTGTTAATGAATTAAGTTACATTAATGGTAAATAAGTAAATAGAAAAGTAAAATATCATACGTAATAAAAAAACGAGAAAAATAATAATAAATTTTTAAAAAGTCATAACAATTAATTTAAAGAATAAAACAAATGAAAAGTAATTAATTTATTACAAATAAAATATGGTACCGAGTATGAAAAGAATGTAAGTATTTTAATCAGAACTCAAATAATTTTGCATTTTTATTTTAACCTCTATTCCATTTGAAGCCGTTTTGATCAGACGAGCACAATTCATAAATATTTTTCTTCCTGATGGAATCGATTTTGACACAGAGGATTTCTTTCCTCAGCTGCTCAAGATTTTCCATTTTGCTGTTCCCCGGAAAATTAAGGCAATAATTCAGCAAATAGCGCAAATACCAGGTATACTACTTTAAATAAAATGCTGTATTATTAACAGAATTTTTTGTTAATACTGCGATTCAGTTGCACAACTGGAGCTCATCTTATTTGGAGCTTCGGTACACTATAGCTGGAATTATTGATATGTTGGTGGAAACGGGCTTCGATTGAATTTAAGTCTTGATTATAACGAGACATTTCATGTTAAAATAATGTACTAATGAAGCACAAAAATTGCTGAGTCCATATTTAGAACACGCATTTATTCATGCAATATCGAAAAGTTGATCAAGAAAAAAGAAAATTGATCTTCAAGATCATACGCTTATAAGTAGCAAATTTTTTTGCATTAAGTTGTTTCAAATTGTATCGAGTTTTTATCTTTGTATTCAGTGCACATGCTCTTTAAATTTATCATTTTGAAGTATTTTTTTCTTCAGTGCTTAAAAGAGAGAAAGAAACAAAGAAATTGAATAAATGCTGAATGGGTGTTTTAAAAGCTCCTCTGTTTCATTTTCAGTTTTCTAGAAAATTTATAGAAAAGATAGTCCTCTTAATGTTTAATGTGTTAAACATTAATTATCATAAACATACATACATTCATACATACACAAATTATCATATAGAACATTGAAATAAGCTCAGAAATAGGCTTATCTTAACTAAACATGCAGCACAGTGTAAATCTCAAAGCAGAAGACTCACCTATTTCTCGCCTAAAAATAACAACAAACATAGGTAAATTTAGAAATCTAACATTTCCTTCTAGCTACATGCCATAAATCGAGCGAGAGCTACATTGCGAGAAACTCATGCGATCTGACAAGCTGTGGGAGGAAAATAAGGTAGGGAAAAGTTTATTTCACCGATGTTTTTTTTTTTTTTTTTTTTTTTTTTTTTTCTTTTTTTTAAACATTTCGTGAGCCAAAGCCATCAATCGATAGCTGATAGCTTTCGTAGCTTAAGAAAGACATGATAATGCGCATTCGTTTTGCTTTAAAATTCTGAATCTAAATTCATGCAAAGTAAAATAATTAATAAAGAATTTGCTATACAATTTAGTTAAAAAACTTATTTTTAACGATTTTAAATTTATGGACGTGCGTCGCATGCTCTAGACAGGGCTTCTTAAACGTTTTTCAGTCGCGACCCCAGGACCCCATAATATTTACGAAAATTTCGTGAGACCTTATAAGCATTTCTCACACCCGACACACACGTCAGTGAAACTGCCAATTTTTTTCACTTGTACTGTAATATATTACTGCACTTTTAGGTCATTAACTTTAATTTCTAATTTTAAGACACAGAATAATGTGAACATTTTAAATAAGTAACAGACGAAATGACAGCGTCACGTGCAATGCAGGTAAAATGAACGTTTATATTATATTATAAAAAGAATGCGCCGAAACGTTTGGATTTTTCTTTGTCTGCATTGCCTTATCTTTATCTATTTTAAGATACATTGTATAAAAAATATTTGGTAATTGTAAATTATTATAATAAGTTAAAGAAATATCAAAACTGCTAAAATTTTCGGCGACCCCTCTGCTGCAGGTCCCGCGCCCCCATTTGAATCGCGACCCAAAGTTTAAGAAACTCTAGACCAGGTGTGGTCAACTTTTTTGTATATAAGATCTACTTTTTATCTTAAAAGTATGTCGCGATCAACTTGCTGTCATAGGTGTAGTGTAATGGAGGGAGAAGGGTGTAAAATACACAAATGAATTATACACTGCTTTTCAGTATAAGGTGCATTCCAGCGAGGTATGGGTAGGTAAGTAAAATATATGTTCAAAACTATTTTTTATTTTTTAAATCACTTATTACGTTTTCGAGATATAGGCTTATGAATGAAATATATTTCCAGATCCAACTTTTAATAGCAGCATTTCGTACATACGGTACCTAAAAAATTCGTTTTTCCTACACTTTTTTCAAGATATATTTTACTAACTTAAAACGGAAATTAATTTTTTTTATCTACTGCCATGTATTAGTTGTACTATTTGTTTGTTAATATGAAAACGTTGTTATCAAAATGCACAGTATGGGTGATAATTTGATTTCAGTATTTCATTTTTGCATTTTTTTGGGCCAGGACAATTTATCATGAAAGAATAATATGGTTTATCTTTTGCTAAAATATCAATAGCTATCTGAGCGTACCTCGTACTGAAATATAGATATAAGGTTTATCTACCCACGTAAAAAAACAACAATAATGACTCAAAAATCCCAAAAACTCATATCAAAGGAAAAATAGAACATGGATAATTATTAACAATATTTTTAATTTCAAAGTAGCTAAAAATAAATACAGATTTAAAATTTACTTTGTTGTCTTAACATAAATAAAAAAACTGAGTTTGTATGTTCCTAACCAAGGAATCATAATTATGTGCGTAACCTGACAAAGATAATTATAATGAGTCTTCGGTATGGGAATCAGTCAGGACTCAACGTTCTTTAGTCTTCGTTAGTTTCCTGTCGATTCATCACACTGAAGGAAAAAGCAAGAATATCTATTAATATCATTATATAACTGCTTTTTCACATTCCCACTCATCCTTTCAGTTCGCCGCATGACTGTTTTTCGAGACAACTGTAGATCTGAACTGCAGCAATAATTTCACTCTTATTCTTAAAATCGTTAAAAAGTGAATCTGACATTTCTAAAAAAATTCTTTTACAAATTCTCAGTCGGAAAATGGTTTACATTTTTTTTTTTTTTTGCTAAGAGATAGCTTACTTTGAATGATGCAGTAGTTACTGCTTGTGTAGTAGTTACCTTGGCTTTTTAAAAACGCTTTGTTAATTTGTTAATTGAGTTTTAAGATCCCTAATTTTATGTTTCTCAGTTCAGAATTTAATGGATAATCTGTTTGATACTTGTTATGTAAAGCTAAAAAATGTCTCCCTAGATTACCCTTTTTATCAATAGCTACTGAGGCTATTAACAACAACATATAACAACAATAGTAAGGCATATTAACAACAACATTTATCATTCAACATTGTAAAAAGTAATCGAGTTTCCATTCTTCATTGAAGTGATAAGTTTTCGATTTCTTAGGTTTACTGCTCATGTTCATGGGTATACTAGAATGCAAAGAAATATAACAATTTAAAGAATAAATATTGAATTAAATATTTTTCTAGATAATTCAAAACTCATGAACTGCGGCTATTACTTCCTTTACGTTGAGAGAAATGATAGTAATACTGCATATTACGATCGGACACAGCAATACAAGTGTATTAAAATCTAATAAAGATCTAATAAAATATACAAGAAGTATGTTAAAGTTACGATATATTTATTACGGTTTAAATACTAAATTCTTAGTT